CAGTCAGAGAGGGGTGGGGCCTTGCAGCAGTGGGGGGAAGGAGAAACAATGGCTGCCAGCCTCTCTGCACCTCAGTGACCAGAAGCAGCAGAGAACTGACCCCAGTATGCAGGGGACAATCTTTTTCTCCCACCCTCACTCCTGCAGGCTGTGACCACTGGCTCCAGCAAAACTTGCAGAGCTGCCTGCCATGGCTGGAGGCTGTGGGTGGGTGGCTGCTGCTCTACTAAGAACTAAACTTGTCTCCAGTTTACCATCCCTGGCCTCTCTGGGAGTTGCAAGGCTCCAGCAGGCTCACATTCCAAGGTGAACATCTGAGAGGTTCTGCCAGTGCAGCTGGTGTCTAGGTTGGGAGAGAGACTCCTGGTGCTTCCTACTTGGCCCCCTTCCCAGAATCCTCCTCTATTCCCATTTGATCTGTTTAGGCTGATGCACTCTGAGTTGTGAGTGTGACTGGAAACAGGTTGAAGATCAAGGTGGCCCGAAGACCACAGACCCATTTTGCAGCCATGCCCCCCTTTAAGTCTGCTGCTTGTTCCCCACCTCAGGGAATTCAAGGCCAAAGTCAGGTTGCAGGAATCTCCAAAAAATCGTGATTCTGGCCTCCACACCTGAAGACAGTATCAGGAATAAAGGTCCACAGACATAGAGATGCAAGGCTGCTTAATGAGAAAGGGCAGGAAGTCAATTCACTGAGCATCTAGCATATTCTGTATTGGGACGGTGTACTCGGTGCTGAGATGGGGACGAGGGAAAAGAATGAGTTCCTGGAGCTCAGTGGGGTTCACCCGACTGCTCACTACACGTTCAGGCTGGTGTCATCTTTATGAAGATGGTGCAGTGGGTGGAGGATCATACACGGGGGTTTACATCTTTGACTGAAAATGTCAGGAGTTGTGTGTGGGAACAAGGTTGTGAGCAGACACCAAATCACTGGTCGAGCAACTAGAAATAGTCACTGGACCCCAAGTGCTGATTATCATCAGCTACTTGTTCTTCCCACCTTATCTCCTTAGTCAAAAACTTAAAGAGGTCACTTTAAAGCCAAGTCATGGTGTCAACAGTAACAAGTATTTTATATAAACACTGATGCAAAGCACACCCAGGTGAAAAATATTGAATACCTCAAAAAAGGCTTAGACACTTGGTGTTCTCGTAGGATGTCAACTAACCCAAGACTGAAATACGTGCCCCGGAATTCCTTCCTTGCATGACTTTGGGTGGGAACCACATGACCGTGTGTGAGATTCGGAAAGTGGAAGCAATGCAGCAGCCACGTGCTTCTTATATGTGGAAGGTCAGTGGGTCTGTCTGGCACGTGGTGGGCACTCAGTGAACAGCAGTGTGACCGGTTTGTGCCCGTGTCTGCAGGGCAGCTTTTCCTAATTGCTCTTCTCAGCAGGTGATACTTCCCCAGCCTTGTTGACACCAGGCAGATCATTGAAGAGTTGGTTAGTTGGTCTTAAGCATCTTAAAAAGGCAGGGTCCCTCCAAGCATGGATATTTAAGTTTCTGAAAAATGAGATAACAAAGGAAAACCTTTTGCGTTTTCTTTCTCCAACCAGATCCCAAGGTGGTGGGAGGCGAGAATCAAATACCTGGAGAAAGGAATCTGAAAACAACAAGAACCCAAACACTGCAGTTCCTTATCTCAACCTGGAGCATGATTTAAACAGCAAACCATGCCTGTCCGTTACACACTGGTGAACCCCAGTGTCTTCACTCCAGAGTGGGATGTGAGGCCTGTGGCTCTCTGCCTTTCCACTGCCAGCAAACGCTTACGGATTCTGAGGGGCTACTAACATCTCATTCCATATGCCAAGAGATTCATGCTTCTGACTAGAAAAAGGCCTACTTTGGAAATGTGTAAGGGCATCACGTGACCTGGACAACCATGGCACAGCCACTTTACCACTGGTCCTTCCCCTTTCTGGATCTCCAAGGTCCTCAGGGAAGCCCTGCATTATGGCTCTGCTCTGGCTGTCCCATCCAGGGGGTAGCAGTGAGCTCCAACAGGATGCTTCTTGGGATGACATTCAGTGATGTCCCTTTTTTGTCATGTATTATTAAGGTCACACATAGATTATGTGCAATTAGAAGTCAAAAGATAAATTATGCAGCTCTGGCCGGTGACTCAGTTAGGTGGAGCATCATCCTATTCAGCAAAAGGATGCAGGTTTGATTCCCGGTCAGGGCACGTGCCTAAGCTGCAGGTTCGATTCCTGGTTGGGCATGCATGGGAGGCAACCAATCGATATTTCTTTCTCACATCCATGTTTCTCTCTTTCCCAAACCAGAAAGCAAATCCTCAGATGAGGGTTAAGAAGGGGAAGAAAAGAGAGATTAGTTATGTAAATACAGCAGCATCAAAATTGTTGGGCATTCTCCATATGCTCTCCCGTACCTCCCAAAGAAATGTCAGCTGTGCATTAGAGAAAAATCTCCAAGGGAGCCCTGGGCTCACCCCAAAACATTTTTTAAAGATTTGTTTATTTATTTTTTCAGAGAGAGGGGAAGAAAGGGAGAAAGAGAGGGAGAGAAACATCAATGTGTGGTTGCCTCTCATGTGGTCCCCACTAGGGACCTGGCCTGCAACCCAGGCATGTGCCCTGACTGGGAATTGAACTGGCGACCCCCTGGTTCACAGGCTGCACTCAATCCACTGAGCCATGCCAGCCAGGGCCCCAAAACATTTTCAAACCATTAGAGAACGTCCTTTTCTGTACATTGTCAGCCACTGCCATTCAAACATGTAAAGAGCCAATTGACGGAAATGACACACAGCTAGGCTGGGGGATTCTGAGTTTTGGGATTTAGACTAATCACCTCACACTCAGTGAATCTGATACCCATGTCGCCAGTCTCAGAGAGTGTGTTCTAATGCATCGCGCTAAGAGGGGAGTTCAGTGTCGCTGCAGAGACCAAGTCAGGATGAACAAAGTGCTTCCTGACACTCCTCCTACTTTCCAGACAGGTGCAGGCTGCCTCCAATTACCCAGATCACAGATTCACAGCCAGGAAGCTGCTCTGGCTCATCTCAACGTGCCCACCTTAGTCATTATTTGCTTAGGAAAAATATGCAAAAAGGGGAATTATCTCATTATCAAATGACTTAGCAGCCAAAGGGGGGGAGTATGCCTCACATGCAGAGACGAAGCAAGGAATGCAGAGAGAGTGAAAGGCCTGGAGCCTGCATCCGCCCTCTGCAGACCTCGGTGCTACCTCTGGAGAGAAGTGCGCCCCTGCACCAGCCCCACTGCCCTCCCTTCTGTAGTGAGTGATGCGTCCTTCATGGTGTGTGACAGCCTCTCCTCAGGCCTTCAGAGTGCGTGACTCCAATGAAACATGCTGCTTAAGAAGAAATGCATGCTTAACATGGGGCATCAGCTGACACAGGCTTACTTATATTTCACATTTTTATTAAAGGGCAAATTAAATCTCTTCGTTTCCCAAATTGAATCTACATTATAATCACTTAAATTGGTCAAATACCCACTGGTTACTGAAAACACACAGTCTCTTGTTTCCCGACCGTGTGGTTCATGGGAACACAGACGCGTCCCTTCTCAGTGTTCAGCCCAGTGTGGACGGACTCACGGGTGCACGTCACAGCACCCAGCAGGGCCCCGCTGTCCTTGCCAACTTCCTGTCTCGTGTCACTCGGTCGAGTATAGTTTTCCAACCCAAACAACCTTCCCTGAAGACTATTTAAGCAAAACCGAGAACAATGTGAAACACACTTGTATAGTTAAGGAACACAGAAAAAAGTGCATCTGAATGGTTTTTTTTTGTTTTGGTTTGAACTCACCCCACTCCATAAGCATCTAAAAGACGGTTCAAAGACACTTGCCAATTTCTAGACAAACTAAGATTTCCGGGTTTTCTGCAAGAACTTGTGAGGTTTCTTTTTCTCAAGCAGCGATGGTCCCCTTCTGAGTGTTTCTTGGGACCCACCCAGTGCACCCTTCTCCTCTGTCTCTTCCACGTTCTTGCCTGCTCCCCCTGGTGACACAGACACACTTGGGGGACAGTGGCTGGGCTGATCTAGTTTTGGACACTTTGTGTGTGTTACCTGCAGAGAGCTCGCTGGCCTTTCCAGGATCAAGTCTCAGTCTCGGGCTCACTGGGGTCACGCTCTCGCCCACAGAGCTGCAAATGCTAAACAGCTGAGCAAACAAGCCAAATCAACTCTTGCTTTTCCTATTTCCTAGGGAAGATTTGGGGCTTTTGAAAGAAATATCTCATGGAAAAAGAAAAAAGCATGACTGGGAATTTAAAAGAATTTTAGATGTCATTATGGTGAAACAGAATACAATTCCATTTGTTCCATGGCTAAGAACCCAGGTAGAAAAAGAAATGACATTTAGTTTTAAAATAAGCCCTAACCCGATAATGAAAGTGTTTTGTTAAAACCACCACAAAATTAAAGGGAATCTAAAATATAATTGCCGGTGTTCTCTACGATGTAAAGCAGTGAGATGCTGCAGGCTGAAGTGAGTGCTGTAGGTCGCCAAAAGCATTCCCAGGAGTGCTCCTCAGTCTGTGGGACCAGAAAGCCAGGCTCACCTTGTTTACCTGGAAGGACTAAGACTCAGTGACATGTACAGATGTGGAGACTCGCCCTAACTCAGTGCCCCAGTATTGGAGACTGTGAGCTGGATGCACCTGCACGGGAAGCTTCCTCACTTCTCTGTCACACCCGCAGCAGCACAGAGGAGCTCTCGGCGCAGGAAAAGGAAGCCGCTGCGTGTCAGTCTGTGAGGAACACCTTAACGCGGGAGAGCGACCACTGATTTTTCCAACCCCAGAGTTTGTTTTTAAAAATTCAGCTACTTAATAGTAAGAAGTCAAGACGGGTTTTTTTTTCAAAAGAGAGGATTGTAAATAAGTTCCATAAACCAGGGTACATACAAATGTTTATGAGCCAGTTAGTTTTAAAAGACAACAAAAAAAGCTGCACGGGTCCTATGTGGATGTGTAAACACATCCACTCCCGGTACAAGAGCAAGTCGGACATTCCTAACAGCAGGGGCTGGCGTGGAGACCAGGTACTGAGTAGCAGCGGGGCTGACAGGTGGGACTGCGGTCACATCGTTTCCTAAAAGGAGCGGACGAAGGAAAATGCACGATTCTGATTGCTCTTTACACACTTCGGCCTCTCAGAACTTCACCCAAAACACAGAAAACGAATCCAGACACCCACTCTGCTCCCTGTCGTTGCTGAAGAGAGCTTTAGGAAGGACAGAATTCCTCCTCAGGGACAGGCAGGTGTGGCAGAAAGCCAGCTCAGAGGGGGGTGGGCTCACTAAGGAGGGGGCGGGGCTAAGTCTGCAAGCAAGTGGCCTGTGAGGTTCTTGGTGCCAAGTCTGTGATGCTGCTGTGGACCTGAGGGGGCCAGCAGGCCGCTCCACTGTGGATTCTGTTGGTTAAAACACAACAGTCACAGTCACAGCACTTCAGTGATTGAAAACACAGACCTCCACCCTCCTTTCCCCACCCGTCTGCAGGAAAGGAGAAATTCAGTGGACATTCATTTTCAGGTTTCTGAAGTGCTACTGACATTCCATCCCAGGTGACACCTCACAGACAGCCCTGATGGTCAGGACCATCCGGGGGACCCTGCACTGCAGGGGGGAAGCTGACCTGAACTGAAATGAGCTGGACTTCCGCTGCCGGCTGCACCTCTCCACACCAACGGCCACCTGTCTGTGTCCCCACAGGGGTCCCACGCCTCCCCTCAGTGACAGCCCTGGGCAGCAGCAGGGGTGGTTTTGTGGGGACCACTGGTTTTGCCATTTGCTTCCAGAATCACACAGACTGTGACAAACTGCACACCGAACACGGTCAGTCCTGAGTTGGGGAAAGCCCGGGGAGCAGGCCGAGGTCACTGGGACTCTTCCCTCCTCTGCGTGGGGTCACACGTGGTCTCCAGATCGCCCTTCTTCCTCTGCTGGACTTCCTGTGTCTTTTTGATCGGCGACCCCTACTAACGTCTTCTTGCCCATTGCTTTACTGGCCTCTTCCTGAGGAAGAAATAAGGGAAATATTCGAGTAATTCCTGGCCCCACCCACTGTCTGTCGAGTCTGACACGAGAGGGCGGTACAAGGACTTTGTTTCCGGTTTCCTGATTGGGTCAGGCAGGGCTGTGCTGCCCATGGTTTAAAGGGGGAGAGTTTACTTTTCTTTGGTTAAATGACTAGCTTGCCACCATTTAATAATCAAGTCCATGTGACAAAAGAGGGTGGGGAGTGTGGGGAGTGGAGGATGAGCTCAGGATACAACTCTGTGGCAGGGGAGGCTGACCTCTGTCCCCCCTGCCAGGAACCTCCAGGGGGAGGGCAGGACCCTTGCCCACCCCTCCTCCTCCCCAGCCCAGCTGCTGGGAAAATCAGAGGTCTTCAACCTGGAGGTGTTATTTAAAAGAAACCTGATGTGCTTGATTTGTTTAATTTCTAGGGAATTAGCGTCCCTCAGGTCCTGCACGGACAGGTCAGTGCGCTACTTCCTGCCCTGGTGGGAGGAAGAGCCCATTCCACCCGGACCCCATCCAGCCTCAGGTCAGACCGCACTGCGCCCCCTGCTCCGTGCTCCCGGGGTTCTGCGGGGAACCGGGTCTGCACACACCTCGGCGTCCCGCTCTGCGAACTTCGCGAACATGTTGGCGTAGGTCTTGCGGTCCCGCTCGTTGTGCTCCTTCGCCTTCTCCCGGCACACGGAGATCTGCAGCCTCGCGGCCTTGTTCTGGGGCTGACCTCCAGCACCCTCTCGAAGTCGCCCTCGGGCCAGCGTGAACTCGTTCATGAGCAGACGGGCCTCGCCCCTGCGGTACAAGCCCTTCTCGTTGGTGCGGTCCAGTCCCAGGGCCTAGAACGGACGGTTCAGTTTTAGAGAGAATGAGTGTGACTAGGGGGCGTTTTAAAGACACTCAGTATTCACATAACTCACTAAAGCTTTCTGGCCAATAACTCACTAATTTGTAGAAAAAGCATACTGAAAGATGGGCTCAAGGTTATTCTGCACTACTGATCAAAATACAATGCACTACCGAAACTAATTTCTGTATTTAATACCATTTCTCTAAGATCACAAAGGGGTCTGGAGGGGGGATCCTGAGAAGTACGTTTTAAAGTTTCATGGAAGGAGTAAATGCCCAAGAATGCCTAGGAAAATTTTGGAAAAAGAAAAATAATAAGAGGGACGTGCCTTACTGGAGAAAAAGATACAGGACTAAACCACAGACACTGAACCAGTCTGGTCACCAGTCCGTGGGCAAACGGCCCGTGGGACAGAACACAGCGCTCAGAGGCAGGTCCTCAGAGAGCGGATCAGCTTCACAGCAAACGGGGCCCAGACAGCAGCTACCCATGACGGAAAATAAGAGTTAATTCTTACCTCATCAGAAACCCAAAAATAAGTTCTAAACTAAGTGTATTTACATGCAACCCTCCCTAAAAATAGAGTAGCCTTATTTTAAAATTATTTTTTTCAAAAATAAACCTAGTTGGAGTAGGTTTTGCAAGTACCGAATGGGGTTAGTTTTACATTTTTAGTGTAGGGAAGACTTCTAACTAGAAAGGAGAAGGCAGATTTGACTGTGTAAACAGCAAAACTTTCCTCACAAAAAAAAACGATGCTATCGACCATGTTAAACACAAACGAGAAGAGGCCCAGCACCCCTGACTGTCAGACAGCGGGGTGACAGCGATGACGTACAGGCCGTCTCAGTCAGTCGGAAACGGACAGTGCAGTTCAGACTGTGAACAGGAAATTCACCGAAGTGCAAATGGCAAACAATGAAGAGATGTGCAAGAAGAAATAAAAATAAAATTGATTGTTGCCAATGATATTAGGAAAGAAACACTGATAATATCCAATGATCACATATAGCATATTAAAGTTGAAAATGTTAATGTGTTAAAATCAGGTCTTTTCACCCAGTATTCCCACTGCTACCGATCTGACCGGTAGAAACAACCCCACGAGTCAGCACAGGGAGACGCTACAGGATTTGTAACACCAAACACCCGGAAATCCACCAAAGGGGTCTGGCTGGATAAACCACAGATGCACACGGTAGATACTGAATGAGATTTAAAAGGATGAGGGAGAGTTACACGATAGACTGGTCAGAGGCAGGAAGATGTCCTCAAAGCTGTATACCCTCACGTTTGACAAGCACACACATCTGCTGCTCTGCGTGGGAAACACAGAGGGAACGAGTGTGAGACGAACGGCGGGTCCTGGAAAGACGGTCGGGGGGGATTTCACAGAGGACCCTCGAGTTCCTGTGTGTTTCTGCAGTGTGTGAAGTTGAATGACTTTATACTGCTACAATACAAATGAAGAAGCAAACAGCTTAAACAATGTAACAGTAATATTTCTTCCTTAGGCAAAAAATTTAGTGAGACATGATAGGAAACGTACTGATCCACAAAATTAAAAATACCAGAATTCAAAAATGATCCTACAAACAATATGTGAAATAGTGGCTTGTTTTTCAGATCCCTTTCTGTTTCCCTGAAGACACACTCCACCGTCAGCCGCACCCACAGCACAGCACACACGCTCACTCGGAGACCAGACACCTGACAGGGACAGGCAGCTGCGCCGGTGCACAGGGACATCGGACACGCTGCAGACGGACACTGGCCCCGCACAGCCGCGCCCTCAAAGACCAGGAGCAGCAGCAACCACACAGGTGTGAACAGGGAGAGGGCCGCGGACACTCAGTGGGTCCCTCAGATTATCCCCGTGTGTTCCTGCCCAGTGAGCAAACGTGGTGTCAGGGGAAAGTGACTTCTCCACACGGCCTCCACCTGAGCAGCTGCCGGCGTCACAGGAAGTCCCGAAAGGCTTGAGTCAAACCTGATTTTTACTGAATTGAACCTGAGGAGCTGGAAGTGCCATAGATTTAAGGAAGGTCATGGGTAACATTTGTTTCATCTTCTCAGACCTTTTATTTTAAGTACAGTCTAGGCATCAGGAAAGTCTTTAATTAAAACCTTTCTGAATTTCCAGTTCATACTGAGGAAGAAATACTCCCAAACATAAATACATAAAGCCAAATAAAAAACCCTCTATTCCTTGCCTGAGAAGAAGGCACAGCAGCCCAGGGGTGAGGATGGAGGGAGGGTGTGGAGTGTGGGAAGCCACCCCCACGCTGACCCCACCTTGTCGCAGCACTCCACGGCTTTGATGTATTCTTGGAGCTTCAGGTAGCACATGGCCAGGTTCAGGAAGGCAGCCAGCAGAAAGGATTCGGAAGCTTTGGACTCCTTTTCCGATAAGCCGTATTCCATATCCAACCAGGTCACTATCTTCCCGTACTGAATCACCGCCTGCACGTACTTGCCTCCCTAGGAGAAAAAAAGCTGGTAATCACTCTCTGTGCAGGCTGGAGGGGGGTGCGGGGGTACAAGAGAAGGGGTGGGCTCAGGCCTCCCTGAGAACCAAATCCTGAAAACGGAAACCTTCCTCACACGAAACCTAGGGGTCTGATCATTTCTTTTCGGTCCTAGGGGCCGGCTACCCAGGCACTTCCCCATCCTCCCGAGGTCCTGGGGACCCGAGAGCAGCTTCAGGACAGCCGCGCACAGGTGTTCCCAACACTCACACCCCCCCTCTTTCCAAGGGGGCAGTGCTCTGCAAGGGAGGGCAGCAGGCTTTGGGGTTATCTTCTCAGGTGCTATTATCCATCTCTCAGACCTTTGAAAGGTTAGTGAGTAGTTTCAGACGATGTCACCAGTTTACGTAAAAGGGAAGTCACCTTTCCCTGTGCTCCTGACCGTCAGCCCTGCACAGTGGGTACAAGAGGCCCAGACAACGTGTAAATAAACGGGGGTCTGCATCCCAAGAGAACCTTACTTACAAAAACAGGCTACAGTTTGCTGACCGACAACAACAGGAATATACTCAGTTGAAAAAGCAGCATCCAACAAAAATAACTATGAAACACAAATTCCAGAGGTGACAGGTGAAAGAAATCTTTCCTTTAGTCATGTTTTCACTCTCTCCCCTGATTGGTAGGATTTGAACATATCGTGAGTGACAACGCATGATTAGCTCACGTATGTGAGTCACACACATGCTCGACACAAGGAACCACGGAACTGAGACAGTGGGTTTCCTGAAGTTTCAGGGTGAATGAAAGACAGCTGACGGAAAAGCTTGAAAACAGGTGACACGTCCTCCCAGACGGCGGACCGTGATCAGACCCATCAGGACGTCAAACCCAAGGTGACCAGCGACCGGTGTCCGGACAACATCACCAGGACTCACCGCCGTCAGCACGGCACACACAGCTCTGTGCAGAGTGGCGGCTCCGTGGCTCAGAAGAGAAACATCACAGAGTCCACGAGAACGTTCCCGCTCTGACGGGCTCAGGGGGCAGTGTTGGACAGCAGCGCCCCCGGGGGAGGAAGCCCTGGCGCGCGTGGTGGTGAAGACCGGGCAGCCAGTGTCAGGGGGCAGCGACTGGGCCTGAACAGGGGCAGAGCTGCGTCCCCCCCGAGTGCCCCCCTTCCGGGGAAGGGACAGGGAGAGGACCGAACAGCTCCTGCAGGTTCTGAATCATCAGAGTGGCAGAGGCTACAGTTTCTAAAAAGAAAAACAAGTAGCAGACTTCACAGTAGTCCCTTTACATTGACGGAGCCCTTGAAAGCCCTTCCACACAGCACGATCACACATACTTTTATTTAGATCTCAGCTTCCAATGAGCAAAGATGTTTGTTTTGTGGTATTTCTGCTTCAGATTTGCTAACACAGGAGTCTTCAACTTGGGTGATTTTGGCCCCTGGGACATTTTCAATGTGTAGAGATGCTTCTCAGTTGTCACAACTGGAGGGCGTGCCTGCACTGGTGGCATCTGTGTCCCCCACAGTGCACACAACAGCCTCCCCCCAATGCAGAATCACACAGCCCCCAAACGTCAGCAGTGCTGAGGGTTGGGAAATCTCACTGAAAGAATGTAGGAAGGAGAAAAAAGGCAGGGTTGACTCTTACGAGGTGTTTTCAAACTAAAATTCTAGAGTCATAAATGACTGGTTTCTTGGTTCAGCAGGGGTGGTCAAGACAGAGTTAAGCCTGGCTGTCTGTAGAGGGTGCAGTGGTTGAAAGATGATCCTTCACCTGCTGGCTTTGGACATGATGTTTCCCCACAGAGCACAAGGGGGCGCCAGAACCCCACCTCACTGCAGTGTCCTCACACTGCCACTGAGCCTCCACACTGGAAAAGAGAAACACTCAGCAGGTGTGACAGTCACTGAAAGCTCCTGTTCTGGGGAACCCAGTCAGCTAGGGGAGGAAGTAAAAATCACGTCTGTCGCACAGCTCGCACAACGCCTGGCACAATGCCATGTTGTTATCCAGGCTGAATTATTTTTAGAGCCAAGTGAAGAGAGTCCTGTCCTACCTTCTTCTCTTCAGTGTTCAGAGGCTCATCTGAGGACATTCCCATCTAAACAGCAAAATCGTTCCCATTTAAAAGCTGACCACGATTCAGCCCTATCAGGGGAGAGATTTACCCACTGAAGGGTAAACCAAACCGACAGGTCAATGAAAACAGAGCTCCCACGCACTGAGGACAGAAATGTCACTGTTATTTCTCTGCATCTGCCGTCACCCACAGTCTGCACGCTGCAGGAGTGCGGGGGCTCCAAGTCAACCCCCCTAGAAAGATGAGGCCCAGGAGGCCAGTGTGGCAGACAGAAACCTGCCTGGAATCTGAAATGGGAATGCACACAGGAAACCGTTCCCCCACTACTCTGAAGCCTCACAGCTAACGCCAGGACCACTGCTGGGGCCTGTTATCTGCAGCTGTGCGGGTGCGTCTGGGGAACTGGGTTGTCCTACAGACTGTTCAGACACGTTCTGGGAGAAGGGTCTTAGGTCAGTGGTTTTGAACTTTTCATTAATTTTCCCCCAATGGACTTGTGTTTTGGAAAGATTTTCTCTATCAAATTACATGTTAAAAATAATGTGTTCCATCTATGTGACTGTTAATCCAGATTTTATTCAAAGATCAGTCATTTTAGGAGGGTTCATAATGTGAAATACACAAATCACTACTGCAGTTGGGATGCTTAGAAGCAACAAAGTTGAAGTAATTGTATAGCAATGCTTTCTGCTACTGGTCACGAATTCTGGCCATTTTCTGTATACATTTAGGAGCTTTCTTTATATATTCAGAGCTATATGGCATGTGGCTTTACAACATTATTTCATTATCAATAGTATTCCCTAAAGTTCAGTCATCAATAACCAATAAGAGTTTCTAAATTGTCAAGCTGTTTTACTACATTGAGTTGATATAATCCTAGTAAATGCCAAGAGCTTCAACCTGCCACCCCCAAACTGTTAATATTCTATTTTGAAGTCGTGGGAAATATTTTAAAAATACATTTAAAGGCTTTAAAGGATTTCAGGTATATACGAAACACCATTCAGGACCTGTAGAAAAAAGTTTTTAAAGAAAATTTTCTTTTTATTCCAGTGTCCTGTGTATTTGGGGTCTATGAAGAGCCCATTTGGTATCTGACTTGAAAGGTTTAGAAGTACCCAATATACATGATTTGAATTTTTAAAACACCAAACTTGCAATTCCACTTCCAGGAATTTATCCGAAGTAATCTGAAACACCAATTCCAAAGAGTATATGCAGCCCTGTGTTCATTGCAGCGTTATTTACAATCACCAGGATTTGGAAGCAGGCCCAGTGTCCCATGGGCAGACGAGTGGGTAAAACAGCTGTGGTGCATATTCACACAATGGAATACTGCTCGACTGTGAAAGCAGAAGAAAACGTTACCCGTTTGTGACAGCATGGTTGGACCTGGAGAACTTTATGCTAAGTGAAATGAGTCAGTCAGAGAAAGACAAGCACCCTATGATTTCACTCCTGTGTGGAATCTAATGAACAAACTGAAATAACAAGCAAATCAATCAGTCAATTAAAAATCAAACTTGCTCTCAAGACTAAAAATTGACAGGATTTTAGGGTTGGGGAAGAAACTTGGAGATCATATAATCTAACTCCCTCAACTTTGCACTTGAAAATATAACGTTTTTAGACCTTCAATGACTTTATATCACTTAGAGCCATAATGCCCAGTTTTCCCAGCTTCCAACTCAGAGCTCATCCCCCCACACTCCCTTGTGGTGAGCTGTGCACTATTTTAGCATATAAAATAAGTAGTTAGAAATAAATACAAATAATTATGTAAGCCAGGAGATTTCAAATTTGTTTAACCAAAATCCACAGTAAAAACTGTTTGAAATGATGACCCAGTACCCATTCACAACAAGTGAACAAAAGATTCATGAAACAAAATTTATCCTTACTGCATAAAGTATTCACTGCCACTGAACTATTTCATGACCAGTAAGAGGTCGTAGCTTGAAGTTGAAACAACAACCACACCTGTCGCTCCCTGACCACACTAACTGTGTGACCTCGCAGTCTCACGGAACTGCCTAGGGTGTCCCCTGGCTGACCGTCGCTGCTGCTCCCTGCAGACCAGGGTGACGGCACAGCGGCGTGTCTCGCAGCCCGCGCTCCATGAAGCCTGGTGAAGCGCATCTGTGCATCGCTGCGTGAGACTGCGGACAGCATCACTGAGCTTCTGTCTGTGGACGGTGGTGGCCGGAAAAACAGAAACAGAAAGGAGCCTTCACAACACCCCCTTCTCTCTCTGCCTCCCCTCCGCACTGAGCCTTCCCTCGCCACGGAGAGGTGCGCATCTGGGGCGGGGGCAGCACTGAGGGCAGCACCTGGGTCAGAAGTGAACAAAGTGCTGTGTCTTTTTCTTTTTCCTTCTCTCTGGGGGTCTCACATGTAACTGAGGAAATCACACGGCACTAGATGTGACAAGCAAGGGTTTTCGAGAAGCAGTCGATGACGGAGGTCACTGGGGAATTTCTGAAGATCGCTCACAAAAGCAGGGGGTGGCAGGGACCACGGTGGCTTCAGAGACATTAATCATCCTGACCTCCGGTCGGTTTCTTTGGAAATCCCTGCATGTTCCCTGTCCTTTGTCATGTGCCTTAGTGACTTCACAAGACAGTGCAAAGTAAAACAAGGTAAAAACTCATGCTCTGAATCCCTTTACTGCTCATAATTATTCTAGATTCTCTTGCTGCATCCCACAAACACTGACTGAGGGCCAACTGTGCACCAAAGCAAGATGCTCCAGACTTTGAGGGACCCCTGGCGGCTGGGCAAGCCAGACCTGGTCTGCCTTTAGGGAGGGCTGCAGTCTAGAACAGACATTGTAGAAGACCATTTCTATTCTTTTGTCATGTTAATTCACCCTTTCTCACTACTTCTTATACTGTAAATGACAGACTTTAAAAATTGATTTGAGAGAGAGAAACATCGATTTGTCGTTCCACTATTGATGCGTCATTGGCACGTGCCCTGACTGGAAAGCGAACCCACAGCCTTGGCCGTCAGGACGGCATTCTAACCAGCTGAGCTGCTGGCCAGGGCATGGAAATGACAGACTTGTACACAGTCCGGCTTATTCCTGCCCAGAAGGGGGTTGATAAAACTCAGAATACGGAATATCAGCACAGTCCTCCGACACCTGAGTAAACTCTTTGAGCTGGAAAGGGCTGCACCAGGACACACGTACCTTGAAGTACACAGTCCCCTTCTCTTTGACGATGGCAGCCCGCTCCAGTTTTTCTTTGGTGTCCATCTCCCAGGATTCTTTGGCCTGTTGTGTAAATTTGTGACAACAGGGAGATGAACAGAGGAGGGAAAAGTGTCAGCCGATACCCAAGAGAACACACAGTGGCCCCTGTGACGACGCCCAGCCCTCGGACACACTGGCTTGTGAAAGTGTGCCGTCGCCACGGCGTCAACGGGCTAGAGCTCGCTGTCCACAGACAAAGCTGCAGCTGGACCCCGAGGCTCAGGGAGGGAGGGAGCCCCCCAAAAATGCAGTGAGTGACACGAACCCCTGGAGACGGCTGAACGGTGCGTCTCTGGAGTTAAGAGGGGAGGCCACACGATGAAAGCTGCCTCCCTCTTCCCTCCTGTGACTTCTCCCCTGAACGCCAGGACAATTGGAGCTGGGGGTTCTCTCAAGCCTCCGTTTTCCAGCTCTGACATGGGAACGCCAAAGTAGGCACGCCACAGCTGTGGATTCAAGAGAATTTTTAAAGTTCCAGGTCATGCAGTTGTCCCTTCCACTCTGATGCAACCAGACATAATAAAGCCTCCAAGTTGTATCAACCTGCAGATGGACACTTGGGGGAGTTCAAGTCAAACATAACTGGGAGGGTACAACTAATGCAAACATATCATTTCAAAGCCATACATACATGATTCCATGATCATCTGCTACACTGTGGTATCTGTGTTATTATTCTCCCCCATTAAAGACACAAATCCAGAGACAACTGTGCTTTCAGTATGAATAGCAGGATTTAGGGGGATCCCAGAGTCCACAGAACAATCTGGGGCCCTTTAAGGAAAATGACAAGGCTATGTCAGAGCTATTTACTGCATAGGAATTAGGAAGCTGAAGTGAGTAACTATGAAATTCTCTCTAATCTAAAGACAGAGAGTGGTGTATTCCTTTAAGGTGAATAATAATACAGTTACTAGGCTTTCCGGCAACCCCATGCTGCCTCACATCAAATTAGCTCTATTATTTGAAAATCTAGTAACAAGGGTCCTTTGCTCTTTAATATTAGGTTCAGGCTTTATGGAGTATAAAAATATTCTTAAAATGAGGCAGAAAATTAAATCAAGTTGCCTCCAAGATCACACAGCCTCACATGGGTTCAGACAAAGCCAGCGGTGTCACGGGGAACAGACAAACCGCTGGTGCAGTGACAGGGGGCAACGCCAGTGAGAGGTGCCACGGGGGCAGTGCCCGCCGGGCCACGGTGGGAGGGGCAGGGAGTGACTTCATTACGAGAACAGGAAAGTCAAAGGTCCAAATACCCGTGAGCTAATGATTCTTCTCTCTCTCTCCAACAACACTGTGCTGGGACACAGCTTTGGAGGGTCAGGGTGGAGCCAGCAGCTGTCAGAAGAGGTGACATGACAACCAGTGATGGTCAGGAAGACAGCGTGCTTGTTGCAGGGAATGTGAAGTGTGAGGGGTGTGGCAGGAAGCTCCCAAAGCTGCACCCCCTGCCTTTCTCAGCCCAAACTTACAGGCCTGCATGACAATGGTTTCTTTTCTGAATCTAATAAAATATAAACAGTCCCATTTCCAGTCCAAAGTTTAACATACAGGACCTGTAGGGGGCGCTGTGGGGAGAAGACAGGCAAACAAAATGCAGTTCCTGAAGCTCTTGGGGAAGGAAGGGCTTTGGTGCTGACCCACAGGGGACTTAGCTGGACACGACAGAGTGCCTCGCTCGGGCCCGTGCTTTCTGTCTGTCCGGTGGGGGTGCCGCTGGGAGCTTCCAGAGGCAGGTCTGAGACGGAGACACAGTTACACAGGGGTGCCGTTTCTGGAACTCAAGGCAACTGACAAACTGTCCTGTTCTCCTACTGGGACAGTATGAAAAGAAAAGGCCCTTGGTCAGCAGGTGTGTCTCTCGTGTTCCGTGTCACAAAGCTGGTGGCCCGTGAAGCCTTGTCTTTTTGGACAATAACTTGCAGCCACAGCGAAGGCCTCTTCACCACTCCTGAGAGGGTGTGACCCGTTTGGCCTGGAAACTTGCACCCCCCCACCCCAGGATCTGCTTGGCAGAACATGAACTTTTCTGTCTTCAACTGAGGGGAAATGTACAAAAAGAACAAGTCTGTGAACAAACAAGGGGACAAGTCTTGGGTTCTCCCCACCCTCAGAAAAGGAGGCGGACCCACAGGGACAGAGTGAGAGCGCTGAGCGCCTTGGCGGTGCGTCGGCCGTGCTGCGTCCGCGGTCCCCACTCCAGGAGCATCAGTGACGACACAAGAGAATGACATGCAAATAAATGCCACCCACCTGCTCTGCCTCATAACATATTGAATAATTCCTACAAGTGGATGGAGAAGAAACCCACCATGATTTCAGAGAGGTTGTATTTTCTCACCTTTTCAAAGCTCTTCAGTTTAACTTCATACATAAGCTCAGCATTCGGTTCAATGCCAAATGTAGGCTTCCCTGACTCTCCAAAACCATACCTGAAATGGAGAGTAGAAAAATAAAACTGTAAAACAAGTGGTGTGTTTCCAGGCACGTCCTTCGGTGCTCTGCAGAATCACATTAGCTCAGAGCTATCTGTGATGGTTTATGAGAAGCCACACTAGACTGAGCTTTCTCTTCTCCTTCAAATGCACATGTGATGCAGCACCTGTGCTCCAGGGGGCAGCATGCTCCACTGATCTTAAGTGTCACTGCCCTTTATTCTGTCTTTTGATAACACAGCCATTATCTGGCTATTAGGACCCTTCCCTGAAGCTTTAGCAGCAGGAGGACAGAGCAGACAGCACTGTCACCAGTATGGTACTATTGTTATTTGGTAGAGGTGTGGGGATTTTTTTTAAATTTTTTATACTTTATTTATTTTTAGACAGAGGGGAAGGGAGGAAGAAAGAGAGGAGAGAAACATCAATGTGTGGTTGCCTCTCGTGAGCACCCTACTGGAGACCTGGCCTGCAACCCAGGCAAGTACCCTGACTGGGAATCAAACTGGCGACCCTTTGGTTCACAGGCCGGTGCTCAATCCACTGAGCTACACCAGCCAGGTCATGGCAGAGGTGTGTTTTAATAAGCTTTCAACTCTCAAGTGCTGTCTCCTTCTAACAGTACCACTTCCAGTTAGATGAATGGGAGGAAAGGCTCACACATCATGGAAAAAAACACATTTTCACAGTATTTCTTCAATACTTTTAAAAAGCACACTGGAAAATACAAAAGACATAACAAATATATAACCAAAAAGAGCGGCCCTAGCAAGCTCTACCACCTCATCCGGAGACACGCTCTCACGGCTCTGCGGCTCTCACACAGTAAAGGTGCGGCGCTCACACCTTGTAGCCCCAACTGACTGGATAAAATCACTGCAGACATGTAAACATGTTCCTTCGGATCACGCAGAATCTTTAATAACCCAAGGCAGTGAGCACACATCTACCAGACTGGAAGTTCTGGTGGAGCTACGTCTGTCTGGGTCGGAGGTTGCCCAGCACTTAGAAGAAAGCCCAGCGTGTTAGGAAAGCGATCACTGGGATTCATTCTGTTCTCGTCTGTTCCAAGCCAGACGACGCTTGAACATATGGAAGAACGTTGCAAAAAACTCAGTAAACCCAAACTTTCATGCTATGGCTCCCAAGATGCCAAACCAGGTTGATGCCAATGAACTTTCTCTGTGGCAAAAGGGCCAGAGTGGGAATACACAGATCTTGATGCTTGCACTGCTTCCTTTGCCCCCGGCCTGGATTGTTCAGGAAGGAAATGCTTTCTCACTCCCCTCCACTGCTGCACAAGGACACGGCAGCTGGGGCCAGACCAAGGCAAAGGGAGCTGCAGGGGTGGGGCGTGGCAGTCACATCAGCAGGGCAGAGGGGGTTTCCCCCAAAGAAATGAGAGGACATAGCTACCAGTGGCCACTTTTAGGAGGTGGTGACTAGTTTTCTATCTGAGCTCCCAGACCTATGTGTCTCCTCTTCTGGTTCTGCCACCTGGTGAATGAGGAACCTTCCTTACCTGCTGGGCACTAGGTTGGTGGGAGAGTCCTGCTGAGCGTGTGGTGACTGACGGCACGTCCTTTCGGGACTGACTGGTATACAACTGGGTCCACTGAGCCCCACGGGTCAGTGGCCCTGCCCTAAACAGCTGATCCAGCACGGGCCTCAGACCAGTGGGACTCGATGGGGGGAGTTTAACCCCCAGGGACGCAAGGGCCTTCAGCAACGTCTAAGGACGGGTTTGTCACAACCAGGGACATGCTGCCGACATCTAGTGGGTACAGGCCCAGGGACCCGGCTCAACATCCTACAATGCACATGACAGTCCCCACAGCCAAGAACACGCAGCCCAAGGCGTCACCAGTACTGGGGCGAGAGGAGCTGTCTTCGAGGCACTCACAAGCGGTGGTCTCACGGCTGCGGTGGGACGTGTGGTGGTGTGTTCAAGGGAGGCACCAGTGTGCCCTCGGTGTTTATTAACGACGGGATTAAAGGAGACTGAAGGAGGGTCTTGTTGTGCAGTCTCTCCTGGGGTCACATGAAGACAGCCTGTGGAGATGCACGGAGGACACGGCCCTCTGGGGAGGGGCATCGAGCCAGCCCTCCCTAAGGCACTGAGAGCTGGCTGATGTCCGTCCACTGCAGCAGCCCGGGCGGGAAGGCCCCGGCACAGACACGGGTCTGACTCGCAGACACAGCCGCCGACAAACCTCTAGGACGCCCCCGAGTGACAAACTGAGAAGACGGGTGTGAGCCGGACCCATCCCGCACGGTGTGTGATCCAGAGTATCGTGCCGCGTGCCTTAAACTCCTACCTTGCTGTGTGCCAGGTGTTTTTCAATAAAACTGGAAAACATTTACTCCTTTGGGTAAATTGAAAAAATCCACACTACCTTACTGCCTTTTGATGATTTTCTTAAAGGCCACAAAGCAAACTTTAATAAATTCCAAATAAATAAAAATAAATAATGAATATCATAATCTTGGATCAAAAGTCAATAAAAATACATTTCTTTGAAGTCAGGGAATAAACTCCTCCTGGCTAGAGATGGTAAAACTTTAGTCTCAAGAAGCTGCGGGCGCAGGGGCGCCCCCGTGGGAAGGAACAACGGGGGAAACAGGACCGGCGGAATCCCCGGGCGCACGTAACACGGAGCTCGTGGGAGCGTCCGCGATGTGTTTTGTTAAAGACCCAGATTCTCATTTTACTCCTTTCGTGTCTTGTTCACACAACAGTTACAGTCAAGCACTTATTGATGTACTTTTGCACGTATCACTTCCACACACACACACAGGTACAAGAAGACAGACATACAAATAGGGATTGATTGAAGTCTTTAAGGGCAGTTTTAAAAGTTAAGCTGATAACAGAGTAAATAAAACAATGTGTACAATATTGATGTTCTTCAATTAACAGTGGCCTGCAGACGGTAGAGACACAACGATGACCACTAGTGACCATCAGCCTCTGCGTGCACACAGCCACTTGTACCCTAAGTCCTTACCAACTGCTCCCTTTTTCATGGACAAAAGAACCCGGGCTCAGAGAGAAGTACTTCCTGAGAGCCACACAAGGGGGCGCTGTGGAGCCGGGGTTTAACTCCGACCCTGTGAGTCCCCAGAGCACAGGGTCGCTGGTGACCCAGGCTGCCACACAGGGAGACACTGTGGCTCCTGGCGGCTTGTGTTTTTGTTCGGGGTTGGTGCAGGATAGAAACAATTCGGAAAAAGGAAAAGTGAAAACTAGCCATACTTGAACTAAAATGAAAAAGATGAATCAATCACAGCGTTTAAATCAAAATAAAACATATCGTCCTGATGAGGAAGACATCCTGCCACCCAGTCCATCAGAATGGAGGAGAAGGTGCGCCCTGGACCCCTCTGGGGAAGGAAACCGCGGTGACACGAAGTGACACTGAGCACAGGTGAGCAACAGCCACGTTCACAGCACTCAGGTGCAGGGCAGCCTGGCCAGTGGGGATCCGAGGAGGGTCACTGCAAGCAGGAGCACTGCACCCGGCGTGGGGGCCCTGCACGCTCGGGTACGGGCTCGCAGCGCACATGGGAATGGTCTCCTATCGCAGAGCAGGTCCTTCCCGTAACTCGGCACACTGACCAACGTCTCGAAGAGACAATAACACGTTCCTTTTTCACTATGAAAAATTACGATAAAAACACACCAAATGAAATACTTTTATACCTAAAAATTTATGAAAAGTAGTTGACTATTTGTATGTCTTAAACTGAAAAAAATCACCACAGTTATAATCGGGTTTCCTTTCTCTTGTGGTCTGAGGATAAAATGGAAAGACATCACAGGAGCAAAACAGCTAATATGCTGAGGGGTTGATATGTGTCAGGCACTTCGCTAAGTTCTTCACATAATTATCTCGTTTAGTTCTCCAAACCTTTATGAAGAAGATACTATTATCCTCATTTTACAGGAGCGGCAACTCAGCCTGAGGGCAGTTAAGTGACTTGCAGAAGTGCACAGGGCTCACTAACAGGGGTGAAGCACTGAGGACACAACAAACCATTTAAACTTGGCAGGAACTGTTTGCATTGATAACCATAAGGATAATTTGCTTCTCTCTGTCCTTGCACCTGAGAGATCTGCCCCACCAGTGCCCTGTGAGCTAGGTCACAATGTAACAAATGATTCCTGTAACATCACATGTTCACAGTGCATCCAGACCTTACCCCAAGGAACTTAAGTCTGAAAACACACACTGGACATAAATACCACACTCTTCATATAAATCTACAACTAGTGTAATTTTGGAATGCCAGATTAAAAGTCCCTGGATATTACTCAGTTATGGAGGAGAAAGTCATCTCTATGCATTTCTCCATTTTCAAAAAGTCCCTTAGAGAGAGAAATAGGTTCACCTGAGGCTGAACTACGAGAGAGAGGAAAGGTGGGCAGAGCACACCGAGGCGGGAATCCCGTGGTGCAGAAAGCAGTATGACAGAGAAGGTGTTAAAGACAAGGGGCGCCCAGCGAAGGCTCCAACAGGTTCGTGGTGCAGAGCATTCTGGGAGGATGTTCAAGTGCGTGGCGGCATAAAGCACCACTCCAGAAAGAGGGCCCTGGCCCGAGTGGCAGGGCAAAGGTGAACGTGCCACTGGTGACTGCTGAGGCCACACAAAGGCAAGCGACTGTGCAAGAGGCACACTAGTACCTACTGCTGAGTGGGGTTCAGCACGATTCTTCATTCCTCAAAACCCTCCTCACCCAAACCCTGGGAGCCAGAGAGGGAGAAGACATGACACAAGGAGATGCACTTACAGGCAAAGAGAATATAACCCCCTGGTTTCACTCAAGGGTCCATTTCTCAAAGGGTTGGATTCATGGCACAATTTCAGATGTGAAAACAATACCAAACATGTTTTCACAAGAGAGACTATTAGTGTCTGGCAGTTCTAAGCTTGGAAAGGCTGATGGGCATCCTTATAATGGGAAAAATTTAGGCAAAAGTGAATCATCTCCACTGCCTTTACATCCAGGAAGAACAGTTGTTGTTGTTGTTTTCCTTAAGATTTTATTTATCTTTTTAGAGAGAAGGGAAGAGAGAGAGAAAGAGAGGAAGAGAAATATGAATGTGTGATTGCCTCTCATGCATCCCTTACTGGGGACCTGGCCTGCAACCCGGGCATGTGCCCTGACTGGGAATCAAACCAGTGACCCTTTGGTTCATAGGCCTGGGCTCAATCCACTAAGCCACACCAGCCAGGGCAGTTGTTTTTCTTTCAGGGACTCTGTATGAGAACAGGGGGCACAAATTCAAGTGGTAATAAATCATCCAAATGTTTCTTCTACTTCCAACCTCTGCCTAATTTAGAGGAAAGGGAAGAGGGGTCAGAGGATCACGTGAGAAGTGCTAATAAATTCCCTCCTTGGGAATATGGTAGCCAAACAAATAAACAAAAAAAGTAAAACTTGCTTGTCGGTTCTTTCATTAACAATCATCAATTGAGCACCACATTTTGCTGTGTATGATGGCTACATACCATGGGTATAACAATCCCTTGTGTGGCACACACAAAAATGTGGGTGCACATTACACATGGCCACATACTGTCAACACCTTCACATCCCTTTGTTATTTGAGGTCCAATACTTCACTCCATCACTACAGCTTGATTTAATTAATTTAATTAATTGTTTGTACTCTTACCATTAACTTCACTGACAACATCAAACGTTGACTGAAAAAGCAAACACATCCCTGTGCTTCAGACAACCTCACTGCGCACTGGACGGCGCGCTGCTCACCGTGATCCGAGGAACAGCACACAGTGTTCTCCTCGCTGCATCTTCTCCAGGGCTTTGTCAATTCCAATGGGAACGTCATGGTCTTCTCCTTCGCCAACGATGAAGGCCACGTCTCTGCAATCAAACGTCCTTTCCCCACAGCGGCCTTCCAGGTGGACTGGGGGAGAGGAGACAGGACAGTCACCCGGCTGCTCCTCAGGGCGGGCAGACCGAGGGAAGGGGTAAATGAGAGTTTCCCCTTTCTCGTTCTATCTAGAGCCATAAATGGACGTCTTGTCCAAGCTCAGCTTGCCTGGTCTGAAAACTGAAGAGCAACAATGTTTCTACCCATTTCCACTTTAAACTTCCAACTACTGATAACTGTATCAAGGAGATAGTTCAGTGGAAAATAAAACAAAGTGGAAACACAGGTTTAATTTAAACCCACTATGTGGCAGAGGTATCCTCACAGGATCAAGAAATACTGGATTATTTAACAGATCATTATCAAAATGGTACAGATTTAATCCCAAGTATGTAACTGCTTCAACACTGAGAACTGCACCCTGGCTTCAGATGTTCGCATGAAAAACAACTGAATGCCCATTTCCGGAATGATGTACAAGGTTAACTATATTCCGAAACTCTTTATTTTTTTGAGGGTCTTAATCTCACTCACAAACATATTGAATAAAAACAGAAAACCCAAAGGCAACACCATCAACAACTAACAGAGCTCCACCCCTCAGTGGGGAAATAAGTGTAAAGTGAGACAGAACCCACAGTCTACAACGAGGTCACAGACCGAGTTACTCCACCGCCGCATCTGAAATGTGAGGGAGAGACCAGCTGCTTGGGGCCTAGTTCCTTGCTCCACTCCAACGCCCTCAGCTCCTTTCCAGGGTCATTTCACATTAAATAAGGGGCTTTTCTGTTTTTCAATACAAAATAAGGAAAATGCATACACGTATTTTTTCCTTGACCGACTACACTTTTTTTCTAGGATGAACAATTCTCTGAAACTCTGAACCACTTTTATAGTAAGGGTTCTTCATTCCTTACCTGATAGGTCTTTGACTCAACAAGAAATATGAGTTTGAATTATAACACATCAATGATATAATAATTTGTCTTTCACAAGAAAATTCTGCATTTCTGCTTCTGAAATATATTGGCCAAGATTCAAATGTAACCACTTCCTAAAATGCTTCAGAGTTGTGGACTGGTTGCTCTACTTCAGATCAATAACTTGCTTTAGAGAGACTAAATAAATATTATTTGTTGTTATACTCATTCCATGAGAACATTATTTTCCGAATACAAATTCCAACATATTCTACTTTTGAACTACATCATCCCAAAGGTCCTGGGAAGCTCTAAAAGTCTATGATCCAATGACCCAGTAATGTAACTCTCAACACAGGCCAAACCCAGTTCCAAAGGTAACGCCTCTGGGCCTGAGAAATGAAACCCTGATGAGTGAACAGCAGTCACACAGACACTAGGGACCACGGTGGCTCACGGACACGTGTGCCTTTTAACTCACGGGGGTTAGTACCATCCTGACTTGTTCCCGCTGCAGACAAGGATGGCGTCTGAGAAGCTCGGCCAAACTACAAAAGGCCTGTCAGGGTGGAGCCGGCATATAGGAAGTTTGCTCTCTGTCCCACACTCATAAATGCTGATGATTCTGTTCTCACTTTTGGAATGCTCTAGATAAAATAAAACTTAATTAACTTGCACACTGAAATGCTGATATTTCTAAAGGAGTTGAAAATTCTGCAAAGTTTGCATTAAATATGTCTAAATCTGCATAAAATTTTAATTTATATTAATGTGATGATACTTTTCATGAAAAAAGATTTGCTGAGCACTGACTGGTGTGCCTCAGTTGATTGGGCACCATTCCGCAAAGCAAAAGGTCATTGGTTCAATTCCCAGTCAGGGCACATACCTGGGTTGCAAGTTGAGTTCCCATTTGGGGTGCCTATGAGAAAGTAACCAATTGATGTTTCTTTCCCTCACTTTCTCTCTTCCTTCCCCTCCTTCTAAAATTAAATAAATAAAATCTTTTCTAACACAAGATTTGCTGAGTGAGGAAAGTGAATTTCAGCCCATGTATTTGGAGTTCCTCAAGTATTGAGATTAATTATCTTGGTAGCCCACAGCTTCACTGACAAATTTTTTGTCTGAGGTTCATTGTCAGAAGCACCTCCCTCCCTAAAGGAGAGGCAGTCAGTGGGGGAGGACACTGTCAGCACATTCACTGCGGGTTTTGGTGATGGAGTCTGAGTGTGTGGTCAGACAGGAAGTCCAGAGACTGCAGAGGGTCCCTTCCTGTGTGTCAGTTTCCTAGCCTGGTGTGAGCTTGCTGCAGGTTCCAGATAGGTATTAAATTATAGAAATAATTTCAGAAGTTCTCTTCACATCTGATATCCCATCACATTAGGAAAAGACTGGCTACTCATAAACATGTTGGGAAAGATAAGTGAAGCAAGCAAAAAAAGAAAAGTTCAAGTCAAATGATAATGAAGACGTAATTAAGAAAGCAAAAAAAAATAATTCTGTGTAGCTGGTCTAAGATGCAATGTTTGTGGCCACCTATTAAGAAGGTAAAAAATAATTGTAGTAACTCTTATAAATACTTACTACCTCATAGATGGACTAACCTTTTTTTTTCTGGTAAATTTAACTCTTCTAAGTTGGACCTGAACAAGCACTACGCACAGTACCATAAACTCTGAAACTAATGAGCTGACCTGCACACTCACACGCACCCCAGTTGGTAAGTGAACATATAAAACCAGCGCCTGTTGGACAAGAGGAGATATCACAGCCTCAGGGAGTATACAGCCCATTGATTCTTTACTTGTATATCTACAAGTAGCAAAGACTATAGTTCCTTTTTATAAAAATGATTTTATTTATTTACTTCTAAGACAGCAAGGAACGGAGGGAGAAAGAAAGGGAGAGAAACATCTGTGTGCAGGAGATACATCGATTGGTTGCCTCTTGCACGCCCCCAACTGGGGAACTGGCCTGCAACACAGGCACGTGTCCTGATGGGAATTGAACCTGCGACTTTGGTTCATAGGACAACGCTCAATCCACTGAGCCACACCAGCCAGGGCTATAGTTCCTTAACTAGCTTCTAAACTTGGAGCACTGGTGTACCAAGTTCTACAGGACGGCTGACAAGCACTCACACACCACCTTGGAGCCACCCAAATGCACGCCCTTTGCCACAGTAAGGAAGCCCCTTCCCGGTGACAGAGGCAGACGTGCCGAGCTCCTGCACAGCTAGTTGCTATTGTTTTATTGTCTCAGTGATCGCTACTAAGGAGAACCATGGCAGCTCTGGCTGTGGAAGAACTGTGGTTGCTTCTGACCTTGCATGTCTTAATACAAATGCTCACTTAATAAATATTTAATAATAACCACCATGACTCACTGGGAGCTCAGCCTCTGGGGCTCAGGAGGTCTGTTGCTAATTCCAACCCGCATAATTTACGGGAAGTGAATGATCTATGACGTGCCCAGAGAGAACAAAAGTACATACAGGATGCTTCTACTCAGGGCTTTTTTAAATAGGGAAAGAAATACACAAGCTGAAAAGAGACACTTTCTCTTGACATAAAGTCTATGCAACTCAAGGGAAAGGGCCCAGCAAACACCACAGTCAAACCAAACTGAATCACCCGAGCTTAGCCACACAGTCTGAGGGCACCCACATCACATGAGCTCAGCCTGCTGCAGAACGTCACTGGGACTGGAGCTCTGACTTCTTGTTCTCTGCCTGCCCTGCAGCAATTTGTTTTGAAGAGCACAGAACACCCTGTTCTGAATGTGCCTGGCACATGAACTCGATGTGCTGACAGCAGTGTGTACACCGATTAAAGTGTGCGTGTGTGCTGCAGTTACAAAACCTGGAATGCAAAAACTGTGGAATTTGTATTTTAGGAAGCAAGAGTGAGACAGAGGCTCCACACTCTTAAAAAAAAAGTAGTGCTGTAAATGCTCCAGCCTAAAGGTGTAGCTCTGGTGAGTGTCTGCTTTTCCTTTTTCTAATTATAGTTGTTGTTGTCTGATGGCTTTGCACTCCTTCCAAAAACAATCACTGGGTCATGGGGATCTCAATGGGAATGTTGCAATAGCATTACTACTGACAAGATCGGTCACTTGGCCACAGAAAACCAGGCTGTGACAGGTTACTCTCACCAGTGAAGAGTTTTCTCTGCTGCCTAATTCATGCAAATGAGTCTCTCTCTGCCTGTGTCTCCTGCCTGATAGAGCAAGGGTGTCCGAGGACAAGGGGATCTTAATGTCTCTCTGAGAAGGCACATGAGAAAGCAGAGGTGGCTTTTCTAAAATCAGGAGAGCGTATTTCATCGCCGATCAGGAGAGGAGCTGTTCCCACCAAGCATGGTGGTGCATTTGGGGGCAAACTGCCTCCTCTCCCCCTCGGCACCACTTCATTCTCTTCGAGATGAACCAATGCCACTGTGATGTTGCTCACGAAACTGAGGGACAGATGCTAACTGCCCAGCAGGCTTGGAAGCCGGCTGCTTGAGTAGAATAAAATTTCTGCAGACGATGTATGTCTTAGTCTGAACAGGAAGCATGCTCACAGCAATACATCCTCCACCAAGACAAATCCTCACAGCTCTTCTTTACACGGACACTTTAATCAGACCTGCATTCCTGTCCCAGTTTGCCACTTAACAGTTGTGGCTTTGGACAAGGGCGCTTGAATGATCTGACTCAGTTTTTTCATCTGTAGAGTGGGGAAAATGATATTAGCTAACTCCCAATTGTTCAGAGGATTCAATCAGGCAGTGATTAAATCTCCTCGCCCAGTACCTGGCATTCATTCATTCATTCATTCACTCATTCATATATCGGGGTGTCTACCACGTACAAACACTGTGTTATATGTAAGTGCACAGAGAGGAACTCAATGAATGTTAGCTATTACTTTCCTGTAATTATGCCACATAAAACTCATTTTGGAACTTTGTATAAGAAACATTTAATGGCTCCACAGAGAGAGCTGTCAGAATATGAGTAAAACTCAGAAGTAGGCAAAGGCAATGTCTTAGGCTTCTTTCGTATCCCACAGTGCCCCACACACTGCTCAGGACCCGGGAGTAATGATTCATTTAATGATTCTTATTCTTC